TGTGCCACTAGGGAAGTCCTGCCACTATTAACTTTTGATGTATTTTTCTTTTAATAGCTAAGGATCATTTTGCATATATAACTTGATTCTGACTATTTCACTTACCATTAGAGCTTGAGTAATTCCCATGCCATTAAATATTTTTTGAAAATATGATTTAAATTACCTCATAATATTCCATTATATTGGTGTCCTATAATTCGTTTTGGCAATGCCCCACTGTTGAGCATTTATTATTGTTCCCTATTATAAATAACATGGCACTGAGTGTCTTCGTATGCTTCCCTGTTGACTGGGATAAATTCCCAAAGTGGGGTTATTGGTCAAAGGCTATGAACCTTTTAAAAGTCTTTGAGACCCTGTCAAATGGATCTGTGGGAAAGTCGCCATGCTTCTCACTCCCCTGCACCCTGTTGAGAGGCCATGTCCCAGCACCCCCCAACTCTGTCTTTGGCAGCTCAGCTGTGTTTGACATGCAGCCTGATCCCCAGCACTGGGCTCCTCCTTTAGAAGACTTGGGGTACATAACAGCTGCCGTCCAACATTTGACATTGAAAGTCTGTCCCAGCGAAGGGGGATTGGATTTGTCCTGTGAGGCCTCCAGGATAAGGCCCATCCTAACAGCATGAAGATCTCCCTAATGATTATAGTTGCAGTGTAACAAGCATCCCGACCCCACCCCATGCAGCAAGGTCTCTGCCCCAGCTCTGTTGAGACTCAAGATCTCTTTGAGGTTCAAACACCAGATGGCAGGTTAGACCCCAGGACCCCTGAGAAGCCTCCCACTGGGACAATTCTGTGAGCTGACCATCTCAACAGTGATTCTAAAGTTATAAAACAGTGCAAAACCTTGACTCCGCTCCTGAGAAGCTCTTTACACATCTGTTTTCTCAGATGTAAGGTGGGGTTGTTATGAGGATTAAATTTGATGATATCTGTAAATCAACATAAATTTGATTGTATTAATATATTATATTAATAAGAGCTATTAGTGTTGGATTGAGCCCAAGTATGAGAAGGCAGTATTGGGTAGCAGTTAAGAAGCAGATTCGGATTTGGTCTGTAGTCACACCCCTATCCAGAAAGTAGAACAGAAAACAGAGGCATTTGGAGGGTCTGGGGAGAGGATTGTTCACATTTATTTAAATTCAGAAAAAAAAAATGTCAGAACAAGCTTCCTTTAGAACACCTATACATGCACTTTATTGGTTTGTTCTTTAATTTTTATGTCTATCAGAGTAATAATTGTGCACAGTTCATGAAGTCTAATAGTACTGCAAGGCCTATAGCACTACGAGGGAGGTGCTGGGGTTGGCTCATACCAGCTCATGAGAGCTGACTGTTAAACTTTTAGGAGTTTTGCAAGCCAGTTTTTAAACACGACCATTATTAAAAATTAAATTATGCAACTTTCAATTAAATGAATGATGTTAAAAACAGAGGTACTAATGTTAAAAACTTATTCCTTACCAACTATTTTACTACTATCTGGTGTGCTACCGTGAGTCTCTTTTAACTCTACTTTTGGTGATATCACCCTGGTAGCTTGAAGTTAGGCATAGTGGGCATCTGCTACTGAAATTGGCAAATGTTCCAAACCATGACCTTTTTTTTCCTTGAAAACCGGTTGTTAAACATTTACCAGCACACCAGGGCCTGTACCCTCGATCCCTATCCTACTTTGCTACACCCCTCATTTCCCACTCCCTAAAGGTAGCTGCTTCCAATGTTTTGAGCTGTGTCTTTTTACTTCTCCTCGTATTTCTTAGTTACATGCTTTCACGGCTATGTCTGGTTTTTTAAATCTTAGACATTGTCTATTGACTTCCTATTATGGAAGATGGGGATCTGGCTCTCTACCAGCTCTGTCTCCCCTCTTAACTGTACACACACACATTCTTCCTACCTCTGCCTTCCCACTATATTATAGCACAACTCGTGTTTAAATAAATATTCAGGATTTACGTTATTACCATGATGTAAACATTGTACACAAGTCATTATCACTATGATTGTATTAGCTTTCTTATACAGCTCTTTTCCTGGAGTTAATAATTGCATTTTAAAAGTTGCATGATTTCTCTATAAAACTGTGGCTTTCATACTTTTCTTCTTAGCAATGAAACTTGTCTTTCAAACAAAATTTTGGGAATTTCTTGGCAGTCCAGTTGTTAGGACTCAGCACTTTCACTGCCATGGGCCCAGGTTCAATCCCTGGTCAGGAAACTAAGATTCCACAAAGCTGCACGGCACGGCGAAAAGAAAATTTTTTTTTTTATATGAACTCTACTCTATAAAATGGGAAAATCAAAGCTGCCAGGTTGAAAGGAGGTCCCTCCCCTTGAGCCATTTCCCATGGCTGCAAACAGTATGATTCAGTCATGAAAATCATCACTACACACCCCTTTGGGGAAGGCAGTCACAGAGGTCCACCTGGAAGGATACATTACGTCCGGACCATCCGCTACTAATTCCCTTCCTGATGCAGGGCCCTGACCTCTCACCATTCTGAATACATTCCAGTGATGTGGCTTCACCTGTCCCTCCAGGACATCACCTGCAGGCTGCTAGCCAGAAGCTGCTGCTAGCTGATGGCCACCTATTGACTGATTCAGATCTGCCTGGTTGCCAAAAGCTTAATGCAGACAGCTTTACTCAGGGACCACTCAGGGCAGCCTTTGGGACCAGATATAAGGAGAGGAGGCTCTGTCAGAGAGCAAGTGAGCTGTGGAAGCAGACAGTGCCAGGGCCTGTCTGCCTGTGGACGTCAGAGCTGGAGAGAGGGGAGATGGCTAGCAATAAGCAGTAAGATTCAGCTCAGCTTTGAGGGTTATACCTGTGTGGGAATCCTAGCTTTGCTTTCAGCTGGGTAACCTTGGGCAAGTGGCTTAACTTTTCTGGGCCTTAATTTCCTCGTGCCTAATTCCCAGGGTTTTGTGAGAGTTAAAGGAGCTACCGTGTAACCCTAATAAATCCCAGGGCCACATGTGGCTCAGTCTCTGCTCAGAGTCTCAACTAATGAAACATAGTCCAACGGCCTAAAAGTCATTGAAAAAGATATTCCAAATCGAATTGCATCCCTCATGGAATGTCAAAGGGGATCCCATTCTTAACTGAGAGCAATACACCCCCAATCCTTTTCCTCCATTCTCTGATCTCCCCCAGTGTACAGTGTCAGTGAAGTTCTTCTAAGTACAACCTCCAAGGCCTTTTGCCTCTCTCTTTCTCTACCTCATTCCTCACCCTCCATACCACTGCCATTTTCTCTAGGTTTCTTTTTTTTTTTTCCTCTACGCACCTTGCCGCTGCGGTGTCACAAAAAATCAGATGATACGGAGATGAGCTGATAGACATACAGGCGAGAAGTGGCTGGGGAAGCGGTTATGGCAGAATGCACACTCTGAAAGAACTCTTGCCCATCACACTGGTGAAATAGTGATATAAGGCACGTGTAGCAGGGGCTTGGCAAAAACTGGTTGTCTTCCTCCTTATTCAGTTGAGGAACCTAAAGGACGGTGAGGTTTGACCTGCCTCAGGTGCCTCTGACCACCTAACCACTGTTAGCAGATGGGCAGTGACTGGATAAACCCTCCCTATTTCCTCCACACCCCAAAAAGCTAATATTAAAAAGACCTGGGAATTGAGACACAGCCTCTGCCTGCAATTTCCCCTCCCTTCCCTGCTGCCTTTATAGACAACTAAGCATGGAACTACCCCTCACCCCCACACCCTTTGTTCCATCTTTTGTGGACTTCATCCCCCCTGCAGGATGTCTTTCAAGTCATGTGCTGAGCACCCACTGTGTGCCAGGCTTGTAAGGAGCTGGAGATTCAGAGACCTGTCCTCAGTTGCTCATAGACAGATAGAAACAGACTGCAATTCTGCGTGATGGTGCCTATAATAGAGAGAAGCACAGAATGCCCTGAGCTCACAGAGGAGTTCTTAATCCATTGAGGGATCGGGGGAGACTTCCTGGAAGAAGTGTTGTCTAACCTGTATGATAATAACTAGTATCGTATATTGAGCATTCACTATGATGACAACCTCCACACTAAGTACTTTGCTAAGCACGTTAGCTCATTTAATCTTCACAATACTAATGAGGAACCTCTCTCGTGACAGCTGCACTCTCAAGCTTTCCAGCTGATTTTGTATCCATGTGTCTGAAAATAAAGTTGCTGAAGCCTTAAAAAAAAGAAAGAAAGAAAAAGAACTGAGGAAACTGAGGCTCATTGACTTTCCAAAGGCCACCAGGCTAAAAAGTGGCAGAGCTGTGATTCAAACACAGGCCTAGGTGGCTCCAAAGACTATGCTTTCAGCCACAGGGCACTGGGTACAGGTGTTTTAAGATGCACACTGAACAAGCATGCCGCATCTGGGAATGGCACCACTCACATCCCAGGCAGGATAACATATGAGAGTGTATGGGTGGACCCCGAGATTCAGGCCTCTCCGCTCATTCCCGGAGCAGCAGGAAAGAGCCTCCTCTTGATCCAAACCTGGCTGTGTCACCCGCCCTGAGAAACAGCGGGGAGTACAGGCACATGACCCAGTAACTGCCAGGGCTGCTGCCCACCAGGCTTTGGTCGTTCAGGTGCATAGTTACACCTTAACTTTAAACATTTTTACTTGAGGAAGGGGCACCTTTCTCTAAGTTGCACACAGGTGTCGTGTGGACACGCACGGCCCCACCCACCACCCTGCTGTGGGACCCTCCCCACGACCATTCGGTGTTGGGGGATTGCAGCCACAGAGCAATATGGCTCAGCTCAGCCAGATGCAGGGACCCAAAGACATTAGTGGGCCCTCTAGGACCTTCTGGTCCAGTATAGAAGCCCAGGATAAAGGCTCTTCTTTTAAGTCACCCCAGGGTCATCAAACTAATTCCCTTCTTTCTCCCTCTCTCCCTCTCTCTCTCTCTCTCTCTCCCCCTCTCTCCCCCCCTCTCTCTCTCTCTCTCTCTCTCTCTCTCTCTCTCTCTCTCTCTCTCTCCTCTGCAGACGGGCAGGATTGAGCCCAACTACCCCAAGGTCTGTGGTCACCAGGGCAACGTGCTGGACATCAAGTGGAACCCCTTCATCGACAACATCATTGCCTCGTGCTCAGAGGACACGTCGGTGAGCAGGAGGGGTGCTCCCTGGGGAGGGTGGGTGCATGGGGGCACCTCCCTGCTTCTTCTTGGAGGCCTTCCTCCCTAAGTCCCCTCCTTTTCCCCTCTTTGACCTTCCTCTGTTCTCTTGGTCATCCCTCCAGCTAGCCCCAGGATGGGGAGTTAGGAAGAGGACAGAGGGAGCAAATCCATGGACTACTTGTACCTTTAGCGTGTTTTCATTTGGAGGTGTTGACTTTGTAGGTGAGAATCAGAAAAAAAGGTGAAGTGTGTGATCTGGCGCTCGTCTGTAGTCTCAAAAGGAGGAGGATGGGAGGAAGGATATGGGCCAGGAGGAAGGGGGAGGAGGGACGAAGTGGATGAGCCATGAGGAAAAGAGACCCTGTTCTTGCAGGCTGGGCAAGTGTACCATCTAGTTTTGTGCTCTGTGCGCCACGGTTTTAGGGGAGGACACTGGGCTGAGAATTGTCATGACTTATCCAAGGACCCAAAATGGTGGCCCAGGATTTGAACACCATGTGTTCCACCGCTTAGTGGGGAGAGAGAAGAAATAGGGGAAGGGAAATGAAGAGGAAGGAACAGAGAGGCGATGGAGGGAAAGGGAAGAGGGAACGGGTGGGAAGGATGAGATACAGGGAAGAGAGGCGGCAGAGAGTTTGGAGAGGGGAGTTGAAGAATCCAGGGAGAGTAAAATGTGAAGCCGCTGTCTGGCCACCCTTTCCCCAGGCTCTGCTGACTTTCATACGTGGAGGTAGAGTCAGGTGTTGGCAGCAGGCTCCGTGTTTCTGGAGAGGGGCCCCATGCCTTTCCTCAATTGCCCTTAAGCAATGTCAACACCCCAGCCTGGAAGCAAGCGGGGATTTCAGAGCCTCAGCTGAGCTGGTGAGGAGGGGCTGCTCCAGCCCCTGGTGTTCCCGGGTGAAGGAAGATCAGGCCACAAGCATCTCTCTAGTGCCCACTGGCATAGCCCGGGTGCAGGTTGTAGACTCCCAGGATATTGGAACTAGAAGGAACTTTGGAGCTCATGTCTCCTATCTTTCCAGACCAGCCTGAGAGCTCCTGAGAGTAGAGGCCATGGCCTTTTTGGTTCTGAATCCCAAGCATCCAGCACAGAGCCTAGTACATGGTAAATACATAGTAGGTATTCAATGGAATGGATACCTGGATGGCTGGCTGGCTGGATGGATGGATGGATGGACGGATGGAGAGATGGCTAGATGAGTGACTAGATGAATGGATTTTTGGATGGATGACTACATTGATGGATAGAAGACTGAATGGATGGATAATGGATAGATAGTTGAATGGAAGGAGGAAGGATGATTGGATGAATAGATGACTGGATGAAGGTGAATGGATAGATGGATAGAATGGAAAGATAAATGAATGCATGAGAGAATGAATATAGCCCAACTAATGAATGAGATTCACAGTAAATAGTCTCCATTGGTTAATAAATTAGGGGGTATAGGAGGAGGCCAGCTGGCACAGTACCTAATAAAAGGGAGTGGTGGGGAGGGGCTGAGGGAATGGGCTTGACCAACTCCTGAAGGTCAAAGCCCTGAGTCAACCCAAGAGGATTCCTGAGAGCAGCAGCATCAAGGGCAGGGCCCATGTGAGCAGGGAGGGCAAGAACTTGTGATGGGCACGACCCATCAGGTTTGGCTACTTTCGTCAACAAGATGGAGACAGTGACCGGGGGTCAGAGAACCGACAGGCCAGAGGATGAGCACAGGTGATGGAGCCCAGGACAAGTGAGGAAACCCAGAGGGCAATGAGGACACTGATTGCTTCCTGGGCTGAGAAGGAGGCAGCTGGAGTTGGTGGGGGCTGGAGAGCTCAGTGGTCAGTATAGGTTAGGACTGGGCTCAGTGGGAGAGAGGGCACTTGGAGGTGCTGTCCATTGTTCTATTCTGGGTGCAGGGAGTCCAAGGAGTGTCAGCGACCACAGCCCGCTCCGTCCCTGCCTGTGCTGAAGTGTTGAGCCACTGTCACTAGTCTTTGAAGAGCAAACACCCCTGAAACTCAGGGCTGCCTTACACTGACTTTTCCAGCCACTCTGGGCTGGACACTCTATACGCCATTAGCCCTCATTGCCACCCTGTGCGACAGACATTGCCACCCCAAGCTGAGGGCTGGGGTCAGGTCACAGAACAAGAGAGTAGAGGAGGACTGCTGGCCCCAGAGCCCA